AAGCCCACCTAAAGGAAGGCCTCCCTCACAGGCTCTAAATTATTGGTACATAGTATTGACACATAATAGGGGATTTTGTCATGTCTTGGGTTAATACAGTCTATTAATGTCACAACTGAGATCCTTTATGGTTGAATGAAAGAACAGAAAAACCAAAATGTAGATTATTATGAGGATGAATATGTATAGTAAAAAAACCACTTTTTACAAATGCAAAACTATTAAAGGCCACCAATAGCAGTCTTTAGGTAAAGCAGGCTGTAAAGTTCCCATTGGCCACATGGTGGCATTAACATTTCACAACTCAATCATCCATCTACCTTTAGCAGAATAGTTTTTAATTAAAAATCCAGGAGAATTCCAGGGAGAAATAGGGAACTCTATGTGCCTGGTTTTTTACTGTTCTCTGACAAATTTGTGAAGAGTCCATATCTTTTCCTTAGAAATAGGCCACCGAGATGTCCAGACAGAGTCACTAGGTTTTTATATAGTTTTTTAATCCTATGAAATACTAAGTCGTACTTATGCCCTCATCTACTTGGGAATATAAACCACATAATCTCTTGCATCTGTTTTCCTAGTGTTTTTCATTTTTGACAACTCAAGCTTTCATTAGAATTTCAATTGTGGAGAATGGGTATCATTAGATGTAGAAATTTAGATTTCTGCATGAGTCTCTTGTAGAAAGCCTCTTTATCAAAATTAATCAGACTATGAATAACACGAGGCTGGAGGATTTCCATTATGTCTTGTAATTTTGTAGCATTCTGTTTCATCTTTTAGAACTCATAGCTCAGAATCTTACTAGAGTTGAATATATCCCCTGTAACAAGCCACCCAGGTACCCATTTTTCCATGCTTATAATAGAAACATCAGTCCCTTAGAACTAATTAATACTGTAATGATTTTTCCCTTTACTTTTAAGTACAATAATGGTTTATCATTGTTCTTTAGTAAGGGCTTAAATCTACATAGTCTTACTTGTACTGAGTCCTTGCTCACAGATCATGTTTCTTTGTGAAGGGCTATATAGACAATAGTAATAACCACAATTTTTCTTCTGCCTTAAATGACCAATTAGAAGGCACGGTATTCAAGACTGTAGTTTCCCCTGTTAAAACTTCATCATTGATTCCTGTATGAACTATGATTAAATTCAAGGATAAACTACTGAAACCCAATAAAATTCCAACTCTTTGAGGCAGTATAAGACCCCAATATTCTGTGTGTAACCTGAAAGGACATTTAAGAGAGGAAACAGCAATATTTAAGGGCGAGGACTACAATACCAGAACTTCCTTGAATGACATCTTGAAATAGAAGACTAGTTTGATTATAATCTGAAGTCTGGTATCAATGTTGTTATTGTTGCCTTAAAAGCCTCTAATTTTGTGGGGCCTTTAGGGGACCTCTAAACATGTTTTCGTACTGTTAGCTGGTATTATTTTTGTTTCCAGGCAATGTATTCTCATCCTTACCAAATTTGTTTTAACATTTCTTAACCCAATGTTTTCCTTCCTTGCATATAGGGTAAAGCCTGGAACTCATTGATTCTGAACTTACAATTTAAGGGCAGTTTGACATTGCTTCCTCAAGTGGCCACTTTCCTAACATCTATTTTTGTAATGCAGATTTTTATACCAGATAATTTTGCTCTTTGTTTGTAGATCCCTACATTCTAAAGTAAATTAACTTCGGATAATCCAGAACATTTTCTATCTCTGTTTGAGGCATAATTAATCCTTGGCAGTCTTTATAAACATAATCAAAAGCTAAGTATTTTAATAATAACACTTGAATTTGTTCCCCCTTTGCTTGATTTTCAATAGTATCTTTGAGTTTCTCTATGAAATCAACCATAAGGCTCAGAGGGACTTTGTATATCTACTACATTCTTAGACCTGAAGTGAGATTCCAAATCAGCTAAATCCAGGAAGCCATAGCTACATCCCTAATGTGGGAGAGAGCTGTTGGAAGCATATTATGCAGCTGATAATCTGTTGATTCCAATCTACCACTCCCCATCAGCATTTCATATGTGACGTTTAGGATTACCCCAATCCTAGTTCTAGAACTTTTTATGGGCTTTACCCGCAAACCACACTTGCCACTGAAGAAGTTTGAAAGGGCTAAGAACAGTTTTAGCAATTATATAAAAATCATACAGCAACCATTGTGTATTATTTTTCCAACCAAAACAATTCATAACTACATGGAGCAGTAGATTCACAGAAAGATCAAGCCTTCTTAAAATCTTTCATTTTATCTATGACTAACCCATGATAAACACTTTGATTTTGTAGAAATTTTACTGGAAACACAAAGCTCAGCTCATGAGGCCAGGAGACCAGGGAGGAATTGGTAAATTAATTCCTTTTTCCTGCCATGCCCTACCATGTCTAGGTTGTAAGCTTAGCTTTTTTATAGGCTCTCCAAAATCCTCGTCAAAATTAGAAAGAATGCAAGATTAGGTTGATTATCTGATTACTTACCCACACTTCAGAAGTGCCTTTAGGCAATACAGCAAACATTTTTAAAGGAGATCCAAAAATTGAGCTGAGGAAGCCATCACCTGAATAGTTGACACTGGTGATGTAATTACTTGATTTTACCTACACTGGGAAATTACCTTCCTTTACTAATTGTAAGATGTTATTATCCAGTTTATATTCATGCAAGGAATTAGTTATTTCTTCCCCATGCATAATAACCACCTTATCTTTCTTTAGTATTTCAATTCATAACAGTTCAAATCAATGCCTAAATCACAACAAATTGAATGGGAATCTCTTCCCCTTATTTATATGCCTCTCCAATATTCTGTCAGATATTTCTTCATCTAAAGCACCTTCACTTGGAAACTTGGGGTTATGATCATAAGGAATAGTGAACTCTATTCAGAGAATCAGACAATGTATATATATTCTGAGGGTTTAGAAAGGTCATATGAGTAAAGATCACATGAGTTGAAGTTGTATACGATCAGTAGAATAAGCCATGTGTCACAAAAATGTTTTGCCATAGAGTCTTACTTAGATATTCATTGCTCTGAAGAGACATGTAATGAAAAAATACACTTACATGTTGTACCTCATTTAACCATTATCATCATAAAGGGAAGAATGGGACCATCAGGCAAACATGGTGTTCAGGCTGAGCTTGCTACATCTTTCAAGAAACCGGAAGTGCCAGGTTTGAATTTAACAAACATAAGCCTGAGGAAAAGCCTCCCTCACAGGCTCTAAAACCTTTCCTGCATAGAATAGACACATAATAGGGAACTATGTCATGTCTTGAAAGTAATAAAGTACAGGTATCAGAGCTGAGGTCCTTTATGATTGAAAGAAGAGAAAAGCCAAACTGTACCTTATTATCAGGATGACTATGTAGAGTATAAAAGCAATCTTTTAAATGCAAAACAAAGGCCAGTCTTTAATAATAACTGTCTCTGGGTAAACCAGATGTAAAGCTACCATTGGCCACATGGTGGCATTAACATTTCATAAGTCATTCAATCATCTTCATTTGCCAGATTGATTTTAAATTATAAAACCAGGAGAGTTACAGGGAGAAAAAGAGGTCTCTATGTGCCTATTCTCCACACTTCTCTGACAACTTTGTGAAGAGCCCATATATTTTCTTTAGAAACAGACCAGACAGGGTCACTAGATTTTATATAATTTTGACTCTTATGAAAAACACAAGTCATGTTTATAATCTTGTCCTCATGGGAATATAGGTTCCGTAATCCCTTGTAACTCTTCCTAGTTCTTTCATTTTCAATAATTCAATATTTTCATTAGTATTTCTGATTCTGAGGTCGACTGAAAGTCACACTGAGATAAGCTTGAGACAAAGAGACCCCAAAGCACACCCCACAGTGACATACTTCCTCCAGAAAGGCCACACCTCCTGATATTGCCACTCCCTCAGGGGGCCATTTTCTATCAAACCACAACATAAATACCCAAAGGACAGTTTAAACTTTATCTGGATAATAAAAGCAAGCAGTAGTGGTTAACCTGAAATAGATCCACTCATGTCTGCTATACCTGGAAGGAGAGAGAAATACACTTACCAAAAACAATCTAACATTTTGAAGAAATTGAAGTCACAAGACTCTTTCTTATTTTCTTAGAGTGCTCTCTCAAGCATTCAGGATTCTGCTCATGTGACTCCATTCCTGGATCTTGTTCTGAAACTACACTATGTAAAATTAATCCCTGGATGGACCAGATGACTCCATATTCTAATTGGTCATCACAATGGCATTTTTTTAAAGAGCTTCAGACCAGAGAGAATTATGGATCAGAAATATTTGTCATGAATAAATAATAAAAGATAGAAACTTGAAATTCAATGAAAATAACAATAGGTAAATAAAGTAACCACCTCAAAGCATTTAAAATATAACAGTGTTTAAAGTAGACTATTAGAACTGTCAAAATATGTTCATATAAAATATTAGTTATTAATAATGTGTGACTCTTCTCTGTGAATGAATTTTATCACCGTGGGAGTGTATTAAATATTTTCATGCATCATTCGCTATCTCATTTGTCTAAATATCTCTGCTTAGAAAAATGATTATTATGTTCAACCTGACTGAATGTAAAAATAAGCACAGACTCTACTGGCACAATCTTCTTCTCAGTCTCTCTAGAGTTTGCAATATTTACCCTTTCTGATATCTTAATTCCTCCTATGGGAGTTATTTACCTATGTTATAATTAAACATAAATATATCTATTTTTACTATTTCTGTTTTTAAAATTATAATACAACAGCATTATATCTCCCTTTTCATTATTCCTCCAAACTTTCTCATATCCATTCTCTTTGCTCTCTTTCAAATTCATAGTATCATTTTTATCAATGCTATTACACACATATAAGCATATGTATATATATTTATATTCCTAAATATAACTTATTCAGTCTGTATTTTGTATAATGCCAAATTTTGCTCCAGAAATAAAAATTATTTATTCTTTAACAGGTTCTATGGAGATTTGAGGGCAAAACACCAGACACCTTACGACCCAATACTAGAGTTTACAAATGTCTCCCCCAGAATGACCTTCTAGGTAAGACTCTTGGAACAAAATTATCATAGTTGATTTCAAAATCCTTTATATCATACTTAATGAATGGATTATTTATTAAAACAACAAGTTCTGGTATGCAGTTGGTCTTTTTTAATATCCATTTTTTTTCTTAGCTTCCATGCACCCCATGTGTTCAATTGGAAATCAGAATTGTATAGTTCAACTCTCAAGTTAAAAACAATTCTGCAAAATATTTCTCTGTAAAATTTAGTTTCGTCTTGCTCTGAGACAAGAAAAACTTCACCGAGGTTATGAGTTTAAGAATCTTCACATGAGTTTTTTTTTGGGGGGGGGGGAGGAGGGAGGAGAAACAGAAGTTGTGACGTAAACTAAACTAATACATTTAATTAATAAAAAAGAATCTTCATGTAGAAAATCTCCTTTCAGTTCTTGATAGTGCACATTCCTCATTTCATGTCTATGACTGCTAATTAATGTCAACCTGAATTCATTTTATTCTAGGTCATCCAAAAACCAAAGCCTTTGTAACTCATGGTGGAGTCAATGGGATCTATGAGGCAATCCATTTTGGAATCTCTATGATTGGCATTCATTTGTTCACAGAGCAGTATGATAACATTGCCTACATAGTAGCCAACGGAGCAGCTGTTTCTTTAGATTTTAGAACAATGACAAGAACAGATTTGCTCAGTGCACTGAAGACCATCAAAGATAATCCTTTGTGAGTATAACCTTAATATATATATATATATATATATATATGTTTATAATTAATCATTATTCTTACTGAAGGCCAAAGGTGCAAGAATTATCCTAAGGCAAAAATATGAAGGGACAGAGACAAATTAGGGCAAAATTCAGTGTCATAGGTTTTTCCCTCATTTTGTTATTACTTTTTATTTTCATGTTGTGCCATATATATCTTTCCTGTGTAAATCATACTGATCCTAAATGTGCAATCCTTTTACTTCATCCTCTACACTGCTTGTCCAGCAGGCATATGGCACCAGCTCTGGACAATTATTATTTTCAATTCCTTTAGTAAAGTAATTGGTCAGAGTTTAAAGGAAAGTATAAAACTTAAATAGCCAATAAGTTAAGTGAAATGAAATGTTGGAGAGGAGAGCCAGTTCTTTGTTTTTTTGCTGCCCAGACCTGAAATAATCACAGAAACACTATATTAATTAAATCACTGTTTGGTCCATTATCTTTAGCTTCTTATTGTCTAACTCTTACATCTTAATTTAACTCATTTCTATTAATCTGTATATCACCATATGACAGTGGCTTACAGGGAGTGTTTCAACACATCTGTCACCAGCATAAGCTCCATGGCATCTGTCTGACTCTGACTTCCTCCTCCCATGCTATAGGCCAAGCCAGTTCTTTATTTTTTAACCAATAAAAGCAACACACAGACAGAAGGACTCTCACACCATTTTCCCTTTTCTGTTTAAACAACAAGGAAGGCTTTAACATAGTAAATTACATTTAATAAAACAGTTATCAAGCAGGAATTATAGTTACAATATTTTTATCTTTTATAAAACTATAAGTATATAGTTTTTATAAAACTATAAGTATAAATTCTTCAACTCCATCAAAGACTCCAGAAGGATATGACATTGTCTAAGTAAACAGGAGATATAATGTAAGCAATTTCTAAAACTGTAGAATTGAAGGGACATCTCACTGCATGGATACAAGGTTCTTCTGTATTGTTGGGGCATCTTCAGCCTACAGGCCCATAGTACCTAGCAGACTTTTTCATGAAGCAGGAAATTTTAAAGGTACTTCTGCCTATATTGTCAATTTGCCAGTAACATTCTTCTGTGTCCTGCAGAATGTCTAGCAGACACTTTCACGTAGCAGGAACCCCAAAGAACTATTTCACCTTTAGGCAAGTTCAGCAATCATTTCTCTGCAGGTCCTGCATGTCCATTTATCTGGCTACACAAGAGCAGTTTCTTGTCCAAATGACTAACAAACTTCATAAGGAGCCTCTTTGATGCCCATCTTCTTCTAGAAGTAGCTTGTCCTGCCAGGTGGACATGTGTCTCATTGTCATGAAAAGTCCTATTTTCTTAAAATATTTAAATGCCATATTTTGCAGGTCTCTGAAAGATTTGAAGAATACCTAAATGAAATATGTCTCTATAGATCTAGAAAAACTAACACGACTACAAGCTTGACTATTATAGATGGCTATCTATTAACCTATATTTCTTAATTATACATTATATTTTTAAATGAACTACACAATCACAATACCTTAATCAATAGCAGAAAAATACATATAAGATTGACCTTAGATTTGCATCAATAAACCTAGGACCATACAAATGCAAATCTCTATAATGTATCCCCCTTTAAATTTAAAGAGACATTTATGAATAATATTTAACAATATGGGTGTAGTTTTTCTCCAAACTGCTTCCTGCTGTTTATTGGAAAAAGTAATCTTTTGATGGGTGTTCAAGGTAACCTTCCAGGGGGATTGGTTCATCAACCAGTCTGGAAGCAATCCACAGGTTCTCAACCTCTGTGGAAACAAGAGAAGAACCTTTTTTCCAAAGTAACATATCCTTAGACTCAAATTTGGAAGTCATGACACCTTTATAATATACATGCTGGTTTAGCTTAGCAGTCCATACAAAGAAATGTCTCCTTGTACTTAAGTCCTCCACAGTCAAAAAATTCAAAGAAAACAAATAGTATATATAACCCAGACTCTGTGAATTTTCCATTATCTTTATGTGGCTTATTTTTCTTTGGTATTCTGTGACTGTCTGTACTCTATCTATTTAAAACCTTTGTTTTTTATATGATTTACTTATTTTACAACTCTCTATACTGTTTTTTCTCTCTCTCCCCCAAGGCTTATCCAACTTATCCAACTCTGTCTCACTTAGAGGTCTTTTATTTCTGAATCTGTCCTCTTATGTATCTGTAATTCTTTATTGTCCAGGAGTGTTTCTTAAAACTTAATCTGTGCCATTACTATGGTATACATGGTACTATCTGCTTTCTTGGCACAGTCCAGCATGGCAGAGCTGTTTGCTGCCTCTGAGAGCCATGCCCGAAAACCCCATTCTCAGGTACAGAGTCAGTCCATGCCACCATTAAGTAAACTGCAGCCATATGTTTACAGACTCCCATCCAAATACTTCATCTTCTGAAAGAGCCAGAGGTGATACTGGCAGCAAGGCCTGAAGGCTGAATTTTCAAAGTGGTTACAACTGAATCAGAAAAGCTTCTCTTAAGGGAGCTGTAGCACACTGCCAGCAAACAGCATGAAGCTGTGTTAAGCTCTGCATGTTTTGTGTCTAGAATTCCTTTTCAAGTTTTCTCAGCTTTTACTTGGATACTAGTCTAAAACTTTGACAATAATTTGTTGGATGGTAGAGCCACTTGATGGTTCCTGGCTGTCCGTACCCAAAACACTCAAACCAAAACTGTATTAATTAAATCACTGCTTGGCCCATTTGCTCTAAGTTCTTATTGGTTAATTCTTACATATTAATTAAACCCATATCTATTAATCTTTATATCACCATACGGCAGTGGATTACAGGCAAAGTTTCAGCATATCTGCCTTCAGTGGCAGCTCCATGGCATCACTCTGACTCTCCCTTCCTTCTCCCATCATACAACCTAGCTTTCCCCACCTAATTATGTTCTTTCATGCCATAGGCTCAATAGATTTATTTATTAACCAATAAAAACAACAGATAGACAGAAGGACTTCCCAAACCATTTTCACATTTCCCTAGCTAGACATGACAGGAACTTTGCAGGTAAGCCACTGCCATGGGTGATATACAGATTATTAGAAAAAGGTTAAATTAATAGGTAAGTGTTATCCAATAAGAAGCTAGAGCTAATGGGACAAGTAGTGATTTAATTAATACAGTTTTTGTGTGATTATTTCAGGTCTAAACTTGCTGGGTGGTCAGGCCCTCCTTGCTGGGTAGTCAAGGCCCTCCTTGCAACACTGAAATGTTAGAGGTGATACCAGATATTGTATACCTAAAAACCATAAGAAAATATTACACCAGAGAAATTGAATGTTATAAAAGAGATAGGTAACAATTATGAATGTTGTAACTTTCTACATCAAAATAGCATAGATATTAACATAAAAGTAAGTGTATGGTTAGATATTTAAGTATGCAAGCTGTTTTAGGATAAATTTAAATAAAGAAAATCTACTACTGCAAAGCAAATTAACATGTTGATAATTATTTTTCTTTGATTAAAAAACTCCATTTACACAAAAAGATCTTGTTTAGGGACCTATGTTGTTGACAATGACTATAGATGTCATACTTATTCAGATTTTGTTAAGGAACTATGTTGTTAAAAACAACTATTGGTGTCATCATTATTCAGATCTTGTTTAAGTACCCATGTTGTTGAGATTTCATGAATGTAGTTTACCAAAGAAACAACTTTAGAGCAGTTCCCTTTGGCTTTTAAAATCTTTCAATCCTCTCTACTGTTTTATACCACAAAAGCTAGTTTTCAGATAAAGGGATGTCTAGCTGAGAGGTCTCTGAGCTCTGCTTCTGAATTGAATGTTCATTCAGCAATAGAAACTTACTTTTCACCTTTGGAGAATAAGCAACATCAAAGGTTCAATGTTTAGGGAGTTTCTTTGACAGACCTGGCCAACCTCTTAAAAAATTAGGCTTGAAAGATGGCTCTGTGGATAAGCAAAAGTCTACTCTAGCAGAGGACCAGAGTTCTGTTCTCAATACTTACATCAGTTGGTTACACACATCTGTAACTCTAACTCCAGCAGATCTCATAACATACTTACACAAACATATATACACACAGTTTACACACTTTACACAATACTCTCTCACACACATATTTAAAAGTATTCATAGCTAGATTGCTTTACCAAATATTCTCGTCTGTAATTATTTC